TTATCACTTAGAAGGTGGTTGCCATTCTGTTTTATATTCCCCATGGCCCATGACATTTTGTGACAGTTCTTCTCACAGAAACTTTTTACAGAACAGCAACTGATGTTCAAACCATGGGATGATTTGGCTAGAGTTGTTTGAGAAGTCTGCAGTAAAACAAATTGTCTACCAAATCACTACTCTCTGCCTCACCATAAAGTCAATGTCTCTCCTACTTTTCTTCTGTGTTTTATTTCCCCCTTCCATTTTAGTCTGCTCCATTCAAGCTCATTCATGTCCTCTTCACTCCCTTCTCCTCCTTGCCAGCTGAAGCACCTGGCAGAGGTGCCCTGTTGCAAGCTTCTGTCCTCTGATTTCCCATGGTTTTCCATTTGCTCCATCCATCACTCTCACGGCTGTCACAGTTGTAGATCACCACAGCAACAACACAGTGGTGCTAGGATGAGCACAGAAGAAGAAATGACTTATTATGACTCTAGCTGAGACAATATACATGTCCAAATGGAAGGAGGGCTTTGGAAGAGCCCTGGGTAGAATTTTTTGTTTATTCAGTGGATAGAAGCTAATATGACAGACTTGGAAGATATTGCCCATTACAGACAAAACTCACACAATTAATTCCCACCTCGTGGTCCCTTCAGCCAGCAGCTTTTGCTCTGTGTTTTTTTCTGCAGCTTTACATTTGCTGTCTACTCTTTGCCACCCCTCCCATACCAGGCACAGCTGATGGATGTAATCTGTGATCCACTGAAGACCGTTTGGGAGACAGAGGTGCCACAGAGGTTTGGACACAAAACTCTGATGCTGTCACATGTGAGCCACATGCCACGCCCATTATTACAATGCACAGAGGAGAAAAAAGAGTTGCCAGAGAAGAAAGCAGTCCTCCCAATCAAAATTTATGTGCAGTGTGGAAGGGGTTTGTCAATGCTTCTGCTGCCCTTTGGGTGAGCTGTGTTTGTTCTCTGAAGTATCAGAACTTTTATGTTTCAGCTATGATGAGAATGGAGACCTTATAATATATGTGTCTTTCTAGGTAGGGAGTCTCAAAACCAACTGTGATATAGTGAAAATTATATCTAACTGTAGAGCCAGGTACAGATTCTTGCCTTCCACAATCTTTATGTTACTGTCCCATTTATATGGATGTAACTTTGGTGCACTTGCAGTAACTGTGTACAAGGAAAATTACTTAATTACATATAAATACAGTCGGTGCTGTTATATATTTTGATAAATTATTAATCTTAATGAAACAGATCTTCAGATGAATCAAGTAAATATTTGTCTCAGAAAAGTTTGAGGGCAAGGTGATATTTTATCTAGCTGTCACCCCACAAAAGATAATAAGATAAAAAGATTAAAAGATAATGTTATTAAAAGTTTAGGGTTTGTGCTACCTGTGCCACAGATAAATCTTCTTGAACACTGCTCTAGTGGCCAGAGATTTAGATGTGATCTCCCCTCTTGTGCTTCTAAAAAGCAAGAGAAGTAATAGACATAAAGCTGGGTGTTTCATGTCAGTGCTTATGAACTTGCTGTCAAAGATGACAGGTGCTTGGTAAGACATTAAAGGTTTTCTACAAAATACTGTGAAAATACACACCAAAAGAAAACACACCTACATTCCTGCTTGCAAGAAATGAGAAAAAGAAGAAGGAGAAAGCAAATGTTATTTAGTTTATATAAACAGGAGAGAAAAATAAAGTTGCATACAAATTTTTAGTCTATTTTTCAGTTGATTATAAAGGAAAAGCAGTAAAATGTGTGTGCTTTGATTTTTTTTTTAATAAAGACTGAATTTCTGAGAAACACTGCTACGCTCTGCCTCATTGCAATTCTTTTGGTCAGTTTTCTGCCTGCTTTGCACCACAGGCTCTGTGACAAAGCTGGGACCAAAGACCTGTCCCACTCTCTCCCTTTTCTCTCCATCCTCTCTTCTAGCTAAGTAGCTCACACGGTGAACTTGGGGGCTCATATCTCACTGTCTCCACCACCCTGCCTCAGTCTCACCCTTTGGAGAGTTATTGCTTCTGTTATTAGCAAGACAATTAAAGAGAAGGCCACTTCATATACCAGCTGCTCCCTTGCAAACCTTTTTGCTTTTCTTCTTCCCTGGTGTCTGAATGACTGACATGGACTCATTCCCTCTTCTCTGAGGCATCACAGCATGATAACAGCAAGAGTCTAGCCCTGTGGTCCAGTGGTCACAAGCAATGTTCCTGTCATGCAATCCTCTCTTCCTTCAATGTGTATTCCTGTTTGGCCTCTGTCATCAGGCTGCCTAATTGTCATATCCCCATCTCCATTAATCATTTCTGGTTGCTGGTTTCCTGCTACCCTTTCTTTGCCTATGATTAAAGTATCTGTGGGAAGTCACTGGCCCTGGGACTGCCATCACAGGCTTTAATGTGTGTGTGGTGATGTGGCAATGCATCACCTTAGAGTATGGGGATACAGCATAAGAAAAAGGAAGGAAAAGTGGTGAACTGAACTGCAGCAGAGGTTGTGTCAGCTCAAGGCAGATACAACATCTGAACACATTTGTCTGTAGTCGTGCTTGGCTCCTCTGTCGTGCTCTCCTGCTCTGCTTCCCCCCAGGTGGGAGAACCTGCAAAGTTGAAAGAGAATCTCAGTGGGGAGACCCTACAGTGATTTTGCTCTGTCAATTACAAAACCTACCCAGCTGTCACCAGCTTTTTGCCTGTAGCTTTGATTGCAATTACTGATTTTTTCCTAAACCTGGGGGCAGGTGTGAGTAAGACAGTAATAATATTTTACTCCTCTTCCTTTTGCAAGAAGGAAAAATGGTCACGAACTTGGAGCTCCAACTTAACGAGGCCAGGAGCTGTGTGGGTCTCCTTGTTGAAGAAAAACTGTCTTACTCTGTGACTGCTTCTGCTCTCCCACTGTCAGAAAATGTCCTGAGCCCAGGAACTTCTCTGCAGACACTGGTTAGAATCATAGAATTGTTTAGGCTGGAAAAGACTTTTGGGATCATCAAGACCAACCATTAACATTACACTGCCAAGTACAACACTAAACCATGTCCCTGAGCACATCTACACGTATTTTAAATACCTCCAGGGGTGGAGACTCAAACACTTCCCTGGCAAGCCCATTCCAATACCTGACAACCCTTTCGGTGAAGAGATTTTTCCTAATATCCAATCTAAAACTCCCCATGTGCAACTTGAGGCCGTTTCCTCTTGTCTTATTGCTGGTTACTTGGGAGAAGAGTTTGACCCCCACTTGGCTACAGACCCCCTTCAGGGAGCGCTAGAGAGTGATAAGGTCCCCCCTGAGCCTCCTTTTCTCCAGTCTAAACAACCCAGCTCCCTGAACTGCTCCTCACAGGACTTGTGCTGCAGACTCTTCACCAGTTCCACTGCTCTTCTCTGGACACACTCCAGCACTTCAATGTCTTTCTTGCAGTCAGGAGCCCAAAACTGAACACAGGATTCAAGCTGCAGCCTTACCAGGAGGGCACACTGCTTCAGGGGGACAATTCCTGCCTTGGTCCTGCTGGCCACACCATTATTCATACAGGCCCAGATGCTGTTGGTTTTCTTGGTCACCTGGGCGCACACTGGTTCGTGTTCAGCCCCTCTCAACCAACAACCCTGGGTCCTTTCCCACCAGGCAGCTTTCCATCCACTCTGCCCTTAGCCTTAGTTCCCAAGCTATTGCTTGTCTGGGACCTGGTAGGAATCTACACTACAGTAGAAGTGCAGATTATGAAACTCAGTGTTGAATGGTCCAAGTTTCATGCAGAAATACAAATTTGTTTCAAGATTTTCAAGAAACCATTCACAGGACCACATGGAGGGACAGGGAAATCTTTGCTTGTCCAGCTTTCCTGCCTGAAGCCAAGAATGCCCCAAAGTTTGAAAGGTTTTGAAGATAGAGTGTGTGATATAACTAGAAGTTTGTACTTTCTAAACAGCAGTTTTCCTCATAAACTGGCCTACCTGGCGTTCAAGTACATGGCAGTACCACATGCAGCATGGTGTGACTGTGAGCAAAAACAGTGCCTGCAGGCTTGTGAGCACAGCAAATCTCCCCAGCCATACCTAGACTCCCCTGAAGTCTTTTTCTTTCTTAGATTTCAACAGAGCCAGAATTTTGCTACAGCATCTGCTTTCATTAGACAACCTTCTTTAATCCTCCACACTGTTTCTTAGCCAGCAGGCATCTCATAACATCCATCTGACCAGTATCTTCTTCCCATTTAGATCCCTGTCCATCTCCTGCAAGGAATCACTTAATATAAGTTACTGCTTTTTCATTATGCAATTATTTTTTGTATTTGTAGGGCCTTTCCTATTCTGTCTGGATATGCTTCATCAGCCTAAACCATGTCTCTGTGTTTGTTGCAATTCCTCTCCCAGATTGTGCCCCAATGATTCCCTTTCCCCTCAATTCCCCCTGCAGTGAGACTTCAGGTTTATGAGGGGAACCAGCAGGACTGGGTTTAACAGAAAGCTCCAGCTCACCTCTGCTTCTCACTCACATGGGTGAGTGCTTCCCATCCTTTGATGTGCATGGAGATGAGCATGCATACCCATGGAAGCATCCCACAGAGATGTCCCATTTAACCCTCTGCATTCGTTCCAGAAAAATCTGTCTGGATCACAGCCCTGCAGTGGGCACCAAGAAAAGCTGTCTTGAAAAGCTGGCCTTTAAAGCCTTGAACTGATGATGTTGTCAGCACATAGTGTTCATTCCCAAGTCATGAAGTTTATTCTGGGACCACTTGAGAGCTTCAAAGCTCTTCCCTTGCCAGGAAAATATCTGTGCTGTTGAACTCTCCTTCAGATTCTCTCCACATGCCATAAAGGAAATGCTCAGAAACCTAATCTGAGGGGGATCGGGCTGCAAGTTCTCCTTGTCTCCATCAGCTTTATGGGGCATGAAATCTGAGGGTGCTGTAAGAATCAGGCAGCCTTTCTAATGCACACCAGCTGTGTCATATGCCCCCAGAAGGGAGGCAAGTGCTCATGTGTCCCTATTGCTTCAGGCTCCACCCTTGCTGGGATCCTGCCTGCTTAGAGGGACCCTATTGCCTGCAGCTAGGACTGCTGCTAGGTAAGCAAATAGGAATGGCATGTTCTTCCCTTGGGAAAAGAGTGAGAGGTGAAGGATGGTCTTGTGACTGAGACACTGAGCTGTGACTCAGAGAAATAAAAATTTCTGTTCCAATCGCTGCTGCTCAATTCTTGAGTGACCTTGATAAGTCACAGCTACTGTTTCAGTTCCTGGTTTTGAGCTGGGGAGATAATGCTTTCTTGCTCCTTTGTCTGTGTCAGTGTTCAACTTTTTGTGCCATGGACTTCCCTCAATAATATGTTTGTGTGTCATCCAGCAGAGCTAGCCCTTAACTCTGGGTGAGCCTTTAGGTGCTATTATGGTACCCCTAAGCAGGACCAGGAGTGGAGCCTGTGGAGTGGAGCAGGCATAGGCACTGCACTGATTCTGACAGCTTCTTGCTGGTCCTGTTCTGCTGGTGCATTTTGACTCAGCAAAGGCTGGCACAGTCTCTTGAGTGTGAACTCCCTGCTCTGAGCTATAAATAACTCCTACAAATGGATGAACACCAGGTGCTAAGCATTCACTGTCAGATGCTGCATTGTAAGTGAAGGCAAAGAGTTAACCTACTTTGTGTACCTCATCCAGGATGTTGAGGTGTGCTCTCAGTTCTGCTGACACAGGCCTGAGGAGAAAAGCTACATCAACCTGTATAATCCTCACAACAGAAGGCTTATGTGCCACCATTTGGAAGGCTACAGAAGTGCCAAATGCCCAATAGTATTTGGAAAGGAGCTGATGGCAGCAAAGTAATGTCTGTTTTGGAAATTACATATAAAATTCTTATAATTGTGTAGGGGGTTGTCTAAAAAAAGGAAGTCACTTCTGCAAGACAGACAGCACTCAGAAATCAGGTGGGACATGAAGGGAGAACATGTGTCCATGAAAAAGAGGTGTTTCTTCAGTAGAGTTCACTTAGTAGTAGGCTGGGCCATATCCTAAATCAGCTATTGAGGAAGGTTTGATGTCACTAGAATTCAACAGGAGAGTAAAGTCCTGTATGAAGGGGAACCAGAAAAAAAAGCAGTTTAAAGGCATGACCCAGTAAGATCCTGCTTCAGGATCTAAACCTGGGTGAATTCTTCTATTCCCTGAGCAGAATAAGGCCTGTGGGATTGGACAAGGTGAACTGTGAGGGCAAAACTGGAGGGAGGACAACAGAGAAAGAACTTGTAAAGAAAATGAATGGAATAATGGAGTAGGGATGAGAAGATTTGAGAGAGTGGGGTGAAGGAATGAAGTTAGGAAAAGACAAAAACCTGAGAGGAGTTGAAAAAAGAGATTTTTAGTGGCCTGTTGAGATGCAATTGTTGAGCCAGGTGTACCTTGAAGCACACCTTGAAAGATGTATCTGCAGCCCACCTGCTAGGTGTTGGAGAGGATTATCTTACACATTCCTCTTACCTTTTGATCTGGATTGGGAAAAGAATGTTACTAAGGCTCAGTTCTCCTCTTTAGGATCCCCGAACGCCGGAGCAAACTAAAACCAAACTGTTTTCCCAAACACACTTAGAAAGAGTGACATTTTTTCAGTGCCCCGAATTCCTTAAACTCCTTTCTCCCATTTGAATAATCCATACAAAGCTATGTGATTTCAGGTATATCTTGCTACCAGCAAAGGCAGATTTAGGGAATGAGATGGGTTTATAGAGATATCCTAAGCCTGGAAGGACAAGGCCTTCTTTCATCAGGAAATAGCTTCACAGGCTCTTCCTGTTGTTTTTATAGGCCATTTTGAAACTTGGTGCTGGCTTAGATCTAGTATGAAGCTTCAGTCTTTGCTTCAGTCTTTCACCCAAGCCAGCCACTCGCTGATTCTTTCTACTCAGAATATTGTGTGTGTGTGTGTGTGTGGTTCCTCAAGAGCAATTACCATCATATTTCCTTATTTTATTGGAAGTTTCTCAGTAGTCAGAGTTATGGGCTTAACTAAAGTTCAGCTTTCTTTTTATTTAGTTAGTGTAACTTTCCCTGATGGTTGCTGAGAATAGCTTTTAAACATGAAAGTTAGAAGTTTAAAAGCCAGAAAAAAAAATGAATAATTTTGAAAGAATAGTTTGAAGTGAATGCTATCATTACTAGTTGCCTAATTTGTGATTTTTAAACAGATTGTGTTTTTCAGAGATTCTGAAAAGGGAAAATGCGATGGTAGCCAGTGTATTTGTGTAATAAATTTTCTGCAGCATTTTAAGATAACTTAGGCAAATGTGTGATACAAACTGTCAGGTTACTTTCTTTCTGTGTATTTCTTTCCAAAAAGCTGTTTCTTTTAAAATAGAGTGGCCAAAACAAGCAAAAAACTTCACAAAAGTACCTTACTAATGGAAGCAAATATGAGGGCTTCTTAGAATTAGGCAATCTCCATAGATAAAAACTATTTCCTTGTATGAATGGGTCACACTGGGATGGCACATGTGTTCTGGCACTTCCATTAGCACACCTCCCACTTCTAAAACTCTTAAAAAGTTGTGGTATGCTATGGCAACATGTCAGAAGTTGTGCTGTCCAGGGGTCACCTTTGCCTCTGGCTCCTACAGAGTCCCCTGGTGAAGGACCATGACATTGTTCCACATATCCAGGTGTTTTACTTGGCCTTCCAGACAAGCAAAAATATCCAACCCAAATCAATCTTTGACCTCAGCATCGAAACCAATCAGACCTTAAAACACTTCCTGACTAAATTACCAACCTCTATTTACTGTTGCTTTTACCATAATTCATTAATAACATTTAAGAGCTTTCACTTTGAAAGCACCCCACTGGCTATTACAGGCCACACCACACATTGTGGAAATACAATTGCAGAACAACAACCATGCACTGGGTCCTGGCTCTGTCTGCCGTGCTTAACAAATCCAGTCTGCAAACCCAGGGAGTCTCAAGGTGTCTGTCCCCTCAGAGTCCCCAGGAGCAGCCAGCAGGTGTATCCTCACCTGCCTGCAACCTGCCAGCAGCCCATTCTCCTGCTGATGCTGCACTGATGAGCTCTGGGGCAAGACCAAAGTGCTGCTGGCAGTGGAGGCATGGAGCTGGGACATGGATGTGCCAGGACACTTGGCCCAACAGATCCTTTCTTAGTTTTGCTAACACAGTGAGGAAAGCTCAGCTGCCCTTGATGCAAGGGCAAGCTGACTGCTGTGTCATTATTGATCCTTTGTGTAGGTTCCCAAATGTTCCACTTCCATCTGGTTCTGGATAGAAAAGGATCAGCCTCCAAACACAAGGTTGATGAAACCTGTTGCTTTCTCCTTCCTTGCAACATGAAGTGTCTGGTGATGTAATCAATAGGAGAGACTGTCCAGAATAGCAGAGATGCAAAAATAGTATGTCCTCTGTGTGTGTGTGTGTTTCCTCTGTGACCCCTTCCTGTTTCACAATATAGTCAAGGTGGGGTTTCTCTTGTCTCCCTGCTCATGCAGAAATCCCTGTAGATCGTCAAGCACCGTGTCAAATACTCCACATCTACCCAGAACCCAGATCCTGACTCCTGTGCAGTCTGCAAAGCCAGAAATCAAATCCACTGGGCAGCAACAATAGATGTTGCTCAGCTAGAAGACTAGACTCACTATCAAGAAAGAAATGAAAAATTATTGAAATTAAAAGCATTTATCTAAGAAGCCCATTGGATGCTATACCCCAGGCTATCTGGCACCACAGTCAGTTTCCATCACAACAGCATCCACACAAGTTGTAATCAGGACCAAGTGGTCACACTGGTGGCTTCTTTCCACACCTCCCAGGCTGCAGCAAAATAATAAGAGCATCTCTTACATTTCATATTGTCTGCAACTTTAGAAACTTCAGCAGAAAACAAAATGGTATTAAAGAGGCTCTACCAGTGAAACAAAGCTGATTTTTGGCCTAAAGGGGATATGAATACAGATTTAAATGGTCATTTTGGTGTGTGCTTAACTCAAGTTACATCCATCCACAATCATCCACACTCTTTCCATGCTGGTGCTTATCTGGGCCCATTTTCTGGCATTTCTGGTGTTTTTCTAGCTCACCTTTCTGCACTTGAGAGCTGGCAGCACAGAGAGCACAGGGGTGACCTGAAAAAAGAGGGAGGAGTGCAGTTATCCAAGCCCAGAGAGAAGGATACAGAAACAACACTTGGCAGGAATACAGAAGTCTCAGTAAAGAAATAGAAGGCATAATGAGACCAGCAGACCTACAGTGTAGGGCCAAAGCTCTTGGAACCCAGGATTTATGATGCCCCATCAGTTATGAGAGGGGTGGACTTTTTTCCTTATTTCTTTTTTCCTAAATAGATGGTATATTATGACAAGACTCCCTTGGCAGTGGATTTGCATGAATAATGTGCCTGTACTCTACCCAAGTAAATCATATTTTGTTCTCAAACATTCCCAAATGGTGTTTGTGCAATTCTGAAGTCTTAAAATCCTACCTGCCTGGCAAAAGTTTGACTGCAATGATCAAAAGGAAGTGAAGCATCCTGTAGGACAGGAAACCCTCTTGAGGACTCCAAGAATGTGGAGATCCCAGGGCTGCCCAGAAGAAACTTCACCCACTGTGTTTCTGAAGCTACTTCTTGGTTGGCAGCAGCTGTTGGATACCATGTGACACCATGACAGACCAAATTGCTTCAGGAAATAGAAAACTGTCAAGCAGATGCTGCTAGGACATTCATGGTGGGAGGAAGTACCAGGATTTTTTATTTAGGTACACCATTTTCAATAGTGACACTCTATAAAAGGCATTTTTAAAGAGCTGCTCTGTCGTTGCCTCTACAGAGCATCAGAAAACATCTTCAGAGGCGTAGGGCTGCAAGATACCACGTGAGAATATTGGATCAACACCTGAGCAGGGTTCTCTTTGTCGTCTTCTGTCCAAATTCTGACAAGTGGAGCTCGAAAAGAATGAACAAGCAGGAGCACAGAAAAGTGGAATAAATAAGTAAAGTATTATTTTGAGTCAGTGAGAGAATAACTAAAAGAAACATGCTGAGCTATTTATTTCTAAAAACTTAGTCAGAGAAAGCAGTTACCAGGCAGCAAACAACTCATAAGCTGAGTATCTCTAGAAAGGGAAGTGCTATTAAAGTGGTTTGTAACTGATTAAACTGGAAATTTTTATTTTTTATTTTCAATTTGATGTTTTATCATTGCTAACAGGAAAAACAGAGAGGATGCTGTGGTAACTCAAAGCTTCTGGTGTGACTAAGGTACTTAAAGTGGCCCATATGGATTCCAGACCACCCACCTACCCACCCCAGCCCTTAGTCAAGTCAAAACAAAGCATTACATTTTTGAAGAGTTGCAGCAATGGCAAAAAAATACAGGCCTCCAAAAAGCTTGTTATTAGACACTGCCAAGATAGCTTTTTTACGATAATTTCTGTTAATTTGGCAACATAAATAAAATTCGGGTATTTTTATTGCGGTACGTGATGTGGAGCAGGTGTTTGGCAGGTGTTCTTCCTTAGGACTCATCTCTCAGGTGTAGGAGATGAAAGGGGCAGGACATGGTGACATCTTCCCATGGGTGCACATTCTCACACATTCATCTCAATGAGGCAGATTCTTCCCTCTACAATGTGGTAAAATGGGAATAGTCCTCTAGAAATTACTGGCACAGACCCAGCATGAGGTCATCACTGAAATGTGAGGTCATGGACAGCTGCTCCTTATAGAGCAGCAAGAGACATCCTGCTCCCAGACAGCTGAGTTTCCACAGGAGGACAAAAATGTCTGTGGTGTGTGGCCAGGACTACTGCTCCTGCACATTCCAGATGGTCTACTGTGAAATTTTCTAACCCAAATGATCTAAGAGCCTAATTGCCATTTACATATAAAATTAGACTCCTGAGCAGTTTGTGCTATGCCTGCAATTAGTCCTACAGCTGTTAGGTTTCTAGTTTTGAAAGCAGTGCCTTTATTATGTCCCCAAAGATGGTGCTTTCTCCAAATGTGGCTTGTTGGCTGAAGGCAAAGTGCCCACTGGAGGGTCAGTCAGGGCTGTCCTCAGAGCCTGATACAGCACCCTGTGAAACACCTTTGCAGAGCATTTCTGGAGGCTGTTGTGACACTCAATAAACTCTTGCACCAAACTCTCATGGCTCTATTTTCAGCAGGTGTTCTTTCATTATAGCAGGCAGCACTTGTGATTTTCTGACTCTGAAGGCCTTGAGGTCCCGGTGCACCTCTGTGCTCACGCTTCTGTTGGGACACATCATATTTTACTTCTGCTCTTATGGGGATTCCTCTTTCTTTAGCCAGAAACTTTTGAATAGGATGAGCTCTATGACACAGTCTACATCATGCTGAATTTGTTTGGATTTTTTTGGGTCCAGGTCTGTTAAAAACAGATAAGGAGGTTGAGCATTTCAAGGAGAAGTTTATAAGAGTGATTAGTTTCACAAACACACAAAAAAAGAGAAACTATAGAAATGTTAGTTTTATACCAGGAATCAAGAAAATAGGTGTCTTTTGTATTTCTAGATTTTTTTCTGTAATCATCTGAGGTGAGGTACAGAGGTGTTTTCCTCTCTGGAATTGTTCAGCTCACACTATCCTTGTTATCCTTGCTGTCATCCCGTAGCAATTAAGTAGGGAAGGTTCATAAGGTAAGTGCTGGCTGGAAAGTGAAGGAGCATGGCACCAAGTGTTGCCCCTCTGGCTGCTGTGGGGTGAGGTGGCTGTGGTTCATGCATCATCCCCGTGGTTCTGAAGAGCTGCCAGGAGCAGATGCTTCTGAGCTAATCCCAAGTCATTGACTGCCCACCTGCTTTCAACATTTGTCCCAGCCAAGCTCCTCCTTTAGGCTGTGGAAAGGATTCCTCAGTAGATGAAGGCAGGAGAAGTGCCAGGGTTAAAGGATCAGAGCTTGTGGGAGCAGTTTTGAGCTATTGGGACTGGACTCGCTGCCTGTTCCAAAATAATGGATAGCACTGCAAATTAGGGTCATTCTCTCCCTGCTGAGAGGATATTTTAGTGTCTTCCACAAGCAGTCTGATCTTTGAAACCTGATACAATGCATTCTGGCTTCTCATGGCAGAGAAGACACAAACCTGTAAAAGGGTCGTGGAGGGGCAGAGTTTTGGATCTTTTTTGTGTGGAGCTTTTTTGTTTCTGCCATTTAACTTGCACATGAGACATCCAGAGATGGGTATTAAGATGTGAATTATGACCCAGTAATGTCATACCGAGCAGAGCAAACTCCTCAGTGAAAGAAGAGAGGCAGAGAATAGCTGGAGCAAGAACAGCTCAAGGTCAGCTATGTGAAGAGAAGAAAAAGGGCTCTAGGTTTTTGAAGGCCAGTGGCTCCTGGGTGTAACTTCTGCCTGCTTTTCTCAAGTGGGACTGTAGGAAAGGATCCTGCATATTGTGACAATATTTCATGACAGCAAGTTTTGGGAAGCTCTCCAACACTGTGACAAGCCAAATCGCAAGAACTCTGATGGATGAATCTCCAAGTGCTGGAAATTATGTAGTTTGTCTACACAGAGAAATTGCAGAGGCTTTAAATATCCTGGAGTTAAAGCTCTGTGATCTCTACTGTGAATGAAGATTATATTTGTATAAAGGTGTATGATGCCAATACAACCCTTTCAGTATGTGGGGGGTAAAAAAAGAGAGAGAACACACTTCCAACTGAAATAGTTATGCCTGTAGAAGAAAAAAATTGCTTGGAACTACTTAGACAGAAAATGTTTATCATACCCACTAGCTCCAAAAGGCTGCATTAAGACTGTAATACGCTGGTTATGTCCTTTCTGCTGGTTTCTGCCACACTTGCTAGCTCTAAAAGACTGGAGGAAACTGGCCTGAAGGAGAAATCATTTGGTTTTTTTTCTCTAGCTCCTCAGCAGACATGGCTGTGAAATTCCTTATTGGCAACAATATGTATTGTGGCTTTGGGAATTCACATGGGAGTGGATTTTAGGTTAAAAGTTACTTAGATATACTTAGCATTTTTGCTAAGTTTTTGCTCATTCTTGCTGACTTCCCAAGCAAACATGAATGATTCTGGATTTTCTCAGATCTTCTGAACCAAAATAACTTTTATTGGGCTAGATGGGCTGACTATATAGAGGTGTATAGTAACTTTCTGTACATACATACCTGGGCTTGGGCTTGAGCTCCACTCCAGTGGAGTGTAAATTGATAGTGGGGTATGAGTACCAGCATATTCCTAGATTAGCCTGAATTAATTTCATTTGCCTAATTCCAAATAGAATTAATCAAACATTTTTTAGGCAGCAGTGAAAGGAAGGGACTTCCTCAGCAGCACCTGCACCCTCATCTAGGAGTGCAGGGGAGGATATCTGCTACAAATGGATGGCACAGAGATGGCTGTCCTGGCAAAACAATAGTGTCCCAAAATAGTGTCTGCCAAGGACCCAGCAGAGGAGGGGGAAAAGAACAGGTGAATAGATAGGGTAGAGGTGTCCAAATAGATAATTCAGCTGACACAAGGGCTGGTATTCTGAAAGGGAAGCTTCGACTGCCTGACTGCCAGTTTCCCTGTCTGGTGAACAAAGAGTTTCAGTGTTGCTTCACCACGATGTATCTTCACCTTTTGTAAGACCTACAATGACATGAACTCACTAAACAGTCACTAAGCTTTGTCAACGTTAAACCTATTTGTAACCAGTTTACAGTAATGCTACGAAATTTATCCAAATCTCTTTTCTAGCCCATGTAATTTAAGACAATGTTCTGTATTAGTCTGAGTGTGGATAACTGTACATTATTCTAGTTTTATATAAAATAACAAAGACCTGTGTAGTTCAGTAACCCACATGCAGGAAAAGGAATATAGCTTAACTCTCTCACAGCAAATTGCTGTGTTTGACTGTAGCAGCCCTGCCTCAGTTTCTTCCCTGTAATGAGACCAGACCTGTTCCTGTCCAGGGCTTACGTGTTTCTGAATGACAGACAAGAGCTAAAAGTTGAAAGCAGCTTTCTTGCTTGCACTAGGAAAGTTGAAGTCCACAATGTAAGCTGCTTATCATCTGAAATATTTATGCATTCATCCCTATAAAAGCACCTATCTTGTCTGCAAAAGTACAGTGAAGCAAAATGCACTTCCTGCAGCTTAGAATGCATATCAAGGGCGTCTTCATTGATTATTGTGAATTTCAAATTATTTTCTTCTTTAGTTCTCTTTACTGCATCTTCTGTCTTTAGAGAGCAGGTCAGCCTTCCTGGAAGGCACACAAAACCTCACTGAATGCAGTGCTTACAAACAAGGTGCATTGTATAAAATTACTTCCAGTGTCAAATATTTTACATTAAAATTGTCCATCCAGTGAACCCTTCTTACTCAAGTTTATTTTGATATTTGATGAGTTTGGGACAGTAAAAAAAGCAGAAGTAGATAGATCAAAATCCTACTTCATTTTTTGGGCTACTCTGTGTCAGAGTAGATATTGATAACTGGACCCTATGGATGGAAAAGGGAAGGGGGTATAATAATCTAAGCATTAGTCAAGATTTCAAAGACCTGTATTCAGTTCTTAACTGTCAAGTCATCTAAGTCTCTTCATTATGCATCTATGAAACACTTTCAACAGCTGTAGCCTTTTTCTGTAAGAAGTGCATGCATCAGCACCAAGAAAATATCTGGGTATCATACAGCTGTGCCAGCCAGTAATGCAAGCAATGTATTGAACAGCGTTATCAAAGAAAAAATTTCCCCATTTGCCGTATTAAGCTATGGGTCTTAGAAATGGTGAAGGAGTATGATTTTCCTCTTCCATTGATTTCCAGCATTTTAGCATTTTTTGTAGCCTTCTGTAATCCTTTCAGGCTCCTTTCCAAGCCAGAAGATAACTCAGGTGTGCCTTCCATAATTTGCACACCAGATACAGCATCAGGGCACGTTGAAGAGGTGGTGAGAAAGTGTTGTGCAGATACATGAGGGAACAGGAAATTTCCCCTCATGTCTCTGTCTACCCAGTCTGCTGGAGAAAACCCAGAGCAGTGGAATGTCTCACTTGAGCTATTAGGAAATTGATGAAATTGAAAATATTCTCATCTCATCTTCCCTGAAGCCTCTCTCAAGCCTTGGCTGAAATTGCAACAAATGTTTTCTTCGCTTGGAGGGCAAATAAAAGGGG